ATATGTCCACTTAGGAAGATTGTATACATATACACACAAATAAATAAATAGAAAGACCCCGCTTAACGCGGAGGATACGTTCTAAGCAGTTCTAGCGCTAACCGAAACAGCCTTAAACTGGATCTTACTGTATTATCAAAGTATAGATATTTGTAACTCTTTCTTTCGTTTCTTGTACTATTTCCAAGACATCTTTCCGTTATGTACATATTTGGAAAACTAGCTCTGCGCACAATTTGGTGATTCCCCGGAAGGAGTTCTAAACCTTACTCTTATCTGTACTTCTACCTATCTTACTATCTTATCGGTCTTACTGTAATTCTCATTATTTAGAAATATAAATAGAAATAATCTTTATTCAAATAAACTCATTACAAGCACTTGAATTGTCATATTTTGATTCTACCACTCATTCGGAATGCAGCTTCATCACAAGAAGAATGAGCAAGAAACTTGTGTGTTGCTCTTTTTAATAGATGTTTTTTATATAAATAATTACAGTATAACAAGTAAGAGGCATGCGATAATCAACATAGAAATCGCTACGCACTCATTATTAGTGTATATGATATTGTCAGTGCTATGGATTTAAAGTTTTTCTATAAAAACATTATTATCGTTAACGAATTCTTCAATTTTATATAGTAAACTTTTTTGCAAAGGAACTGTTTTATTTGACATTTAAATCTTTTTTCTGGCTGATTTATAAGACTGGTATTCTATTGTAAAACCTACCTATTATTTCCCATGCTACACATACAAAGTGACGGGGCAGACTTAGTGTTAAACAAATGAACTTTTGAATTCGTCTAAAATATACCTCTGCACTTGATTCCTGGCGACATTCTCCAATTCCTGAGCGGGTGTATTAGGGTTTTCGAGCAGTTGCTTGCTGACCACCACCTCCAATTCCTCCAATGCTTGGACCAGTGGTGGTGGCAGTTTCACTTCCACCTTCGCCTCAACATCCCTGATGTTGAACAAATATTTTATGAGAATCACAATGTCAATAATAGTGATACCCAGGTAATTCACACAATGTCTAGTACCAAGGCAAGCAGAGATTGTGTGGATACTAGACAAATGATACAAATACACACTTTTTTGCAAATAATATTTATAAAAAACAACCAGACTGATGAATGCAATGTTACAGATACATTATCAATCCATTTTATTATGAAAATAAAGAAAATATCTAAAAATTAAAATGACAGTAGCTAATGTTCAGGTGGATGCGTGGTGTGACAAGAATGGATAAGATAAAAAATGAATACATTAAAGGAAGTATGAAAGTGGCGCCGGTGTCGGAGAGGTTGAGGAGTAATCGGCTATCATGGTATGGATATGTAATGCGTAGGAATGAGGATAATATTTTAAGAAAGGTGTTACATATGAATGTGGATGGTTATAAGGGCAGAGGAAGGCCGAAAAAGAGATGGATGGACTGTGTGAAAGATGATATGGTAAGAAAGGAAGTAAATAACGCGATGACTGCGAACAGGGATGAATGGAAGCGAAAAACATATTACGCCGACCACAAACAAATGTGATAAGGAAGAAGCAGATAATGATGATGAGTAGCTAGTTTATTAGCAGCTAAGATTTAATAAACGTTAAACGGAATCTATACGTACAAACATGTGTGCATACAATCACACATACATATATGTTTGACTCAAACATATTGATAACAAATGTCGAATTAAACATTTCAGTTCACCATATATCATCATCTGCTTCTACCTTATCCCATTTATTTGGGGTTCAAGTAATATATTTTTCCTTCCATTCATCCCTGTTAACAGTCATTTCTTTATTTACTCCCTCTTTCTTACCATATCATTCACACAGTCCATCCATCTCTTTTTCGGCATTCCTGTCCTTATAACGATCCACATTCATAAGTAACACATTCTTTAAAATATATTAATTCTTACTACAAAAATAATATTAATCACCTGGAACTGTCCGAGGTGACTGCATTTTCGGAGCTCGGCGCTGGTTTGGAGGTGAGTGAGTCGGATTGAGATGTCCTGGAGTCTGCGCTCTCACCTTGAGCATTATCTAAACAAATAATATTAATATTTTAATTGAAAGCAGTTCTCATTTAGCAAAAATGGTGAGGATGGCCTCGGTGGTCTAGCACAAAGCCTTACTTCCGATGGTCGGAGGTTCGATTCGCGTAAATATGGCAGTAAAATTATAGAGTATCGATGCACAAGATTGCATTACTCAGACATTAACGCGTGACCATAGACAACCATGGGTGTCGTACCGTACCTGATGTCTATTATGTAATGCAACTTTTGCCATTTACCACTTTTTACCGTTTTTCTTATTAAATAAAAAAATTGTCAAACATTAAAACAAAAAAAAAGACATGTCTTACCATCGGATGTTTGTTTTCCAGATGTGGCAGCAGAGGAATCAGTTCTACGGATCTTCTTTGCTTTCTTCTTATCAATCTTTTTATTCTTCTGTAATAACAGATAATAAATACATTATAATTAGACACACACACATAACTGTATCAATCAAAGATAGGTCGCAGGAAATACTATTTGTTATTACTATGTTATATTTATCCTAATAATATTAGTAGAGCAAGCATCGCTGTTTGCTCTCCTCATATTATTAGTATAATTATACTCTGTTATACTCTGAAATTACATATTAATAGATATAACATCTTCATCCTGCGGAATGTCAACGCATGTAGTCACATGTGTTACATCATAACGGGATGTCTGTAGTGCTGTTCATGTATATACCTAGGCGACGGTTACCACTCACCGTCAACTTGTTTGCCATTCTATTCACAGAAACAAATCTACTCTATCCATAAAAAAAAACGTAAAAAATTAAAGGATGACATTTATCACTTCGATTTCTTGTGAAAATAAGATTACCTAGATTTCTTCAATTTCACTTTCATAGTATGATGGCGGCAAAGAAACATACGGCTCATCCGTAAACAGTTACCGTAGCCTATGTACGTATGTATGTAAAAAAAATCCGTGATAGTATTCACTCACCTTTTTCCGGTGTTCAGTCTTATGCGAGTCCACTGCACCATTGACGATACCCTTCGGATCCTTTACATCCTGACTCGACTCTGATGTGCTTTCGGAAGACTCTTCTTCGCTGCTGCTTGATGAAATGCGTCTCTGCAATAATTTGTTACAATAAATGAATGACCAGGCCTGACAAGATTTTTTTTTAAATACTACAATCTTGGCAATCAAGCATATAGGCCCATCTGCTAGCAATGGCTATTGAAGCGTAGATGACTGAAACACCAGGGTTGTCATGTTCATAACTAGAAGAACCTAACCAAGGGTGAACAAGAAGGGATAGCTCAAATATGCTGATGAAATTAAGCAGAGATGTTCCATAACAAGAACTCAACTTAATTCCAAGCTTAACAGAACTATGGTACGTATCTTAGCTTTCCTTGATAGTTCAGGCTAGTTCTTGTTATGAAACACAATTGCTTAGTTTCATCAGCATATTTCAGCTAGACGGCGTTGTGTAAATTGTCCAGGGTTATTATACTTTTACATATATGTGGATGGATAATTACATATGTGTAGGTACTGTATACTGACTGGACGGTATGGAATAAAGATTATAATATAAAAAATTTGATGTTCAACAACGGCTAAAATGTTCTACGTAAATAAATGATTCTTGAATTATAATTTGACTTCATTCCTTTCTTTCGTCCATCCTTTGGAATCGAAGTCCAAACACATCGAGACAATTTACTGCGGTTTATGTGGCTTTGTCTCACCTATTACAGTTGCCAAGCAGCATAATTTACTAGGTCGTTCTATAAACAAACAGACACACTTTCGTATTTATATTAGTATGGATTAGAATATTAACTGACCTTATTCCTCCTATTGCCTGCTTCACCATCAGACAAGACGGATTGGTTCTCCGGCACAGTCTTAAATTCAAGAGAGCCACTGTTGATGTAGAAACCGCCGTAGAACGTGTCACATTCCGGTGGGATCATCTCATCGTACTGGAAATATCAGGAATATTTTGTAAATATAATGTCAAGGAAACATTACTATTTTTTTCTTTCTTTTATAGCACAGGAGTCAAACGAGCTTTTGCCATTTCTATTACAAAAACAAGTCAAGCTAAATATACATTTTTATAAACAGGATATTTATTATTTACAATTATAATAATATTTTAAATGTATAAATATGTTTTGTAACAATATATCATAAACTTATGTGGAAATATTTGTAAATCTTTGTAAATTGTAAAATGAATAAAGATATTTACTATTATTATTTATGAAATCTAACAATATTAACAACAGGTAGACCAGAATAATTATTTACATCTTATATATAAAATTCTCGTGTCACAGTTTTCGTTCTCATACTCCTCCGAAACGGCTTGACTGACTCTCATGAAATTTTGTGAGCGTATTGAGTAGGTCTGAGAATCGGCCAACATCTATTTTTCATCCCCCTAAATGTTAGGTGTAGTCCACCCCTAATTTTTTTTTTATTTTAAGGCAAAACAACGTTTGCCGGGACAGCTAGTAATAATATAATAATTACATCAATTATGTTGCTTATAATACATCATATCAATTCTTATGAACAATATAGTGTTAATAAAATTATTATTATTGTATTATAGTAGACTATATTGTGTTATACTGTGACTGTAGATAGTGTGTGTGACAGCAGACTATATTGAGATTACTGTAGACATATATTGTGTTATATGTCTATCTACAGGTGTGCCTGTTTCAGTCTTTATATGGAGTTCAATAAATTAAAAAAAAAGTTACAAAATAGGCTATCAGTTGCCTAGTGTCTATAATATAAGCTTTGTTTAATTTAGAACTAAATTGTTATCTAGTACGACTATATATGATAATAGCTGTATGCCACTGTTTATTAGTAATCCTGAACAGCATGATTTTTACTAGTCTCATTTTTATAACTTGTTATATATCTATTATTATTTACCAAGGCAGACTTTATTATAAGTCGTCTGCATATCCTCTCTTTCTATTACAGCCCCCAAGCAGCTTGCTTTTTTAGATGTTACTTCTAAAAAAGCAAGCTGCTCAGGAGCCCGCACGGGCAAACGCCTGATATACAAGATAAGTCAAAATAACTCTTCAAAGCATTTTGTCTGGTTTTCTACACCGGCAGCTTGTGGGTCTCTCTCGCCAGCGTAAACAGTTAGCGCAGGCGTGTGCATAATTCCATTATCATCATTATAAAAAACAAAGGATCTGCTTAGGTTGGTACTAGATGACGGTGCGTATATTGTCCAGTTATTACATAACCACATGCAATGCAATATAAATTAGTTATATACTTACTCCATGTGTATTGTCAATGAAGGAATCATTCTCATCATAGCCAGCACCGATATCTGCAAAATCGTCATGCTTGGATCTGCCCTTTCTACCGTATGTGCTCTTACCACCCTGTAATGGAAACAATGGTGTGCCGTGTGATATATGCAATCAGACTAGTATTGTTCAAAATCAAATTAAATAATTCTATTGTTTACTTTGTTTGTAGAGGACAGTTTTGAACCTAAGTGCTATCGTTGTCGATCTCTTATTGTATAGTTTAATCTAATTGTTACTTATGTACACAATAGTTCCAAAATGTTAACTAGATGTCGCTGTCTCAATTATGTGTAATTTCTACCTTGCGTTGGCAAGTTTTTGCATTGTTATAAGACCTTTTGTAATCGAAGAGAATATTCTTACTACGGAACATACACACTTCAATACTATTCTTGAGTTTAATTTACCTATAGGGTCTATTTTTTTTTTATTTATTGGGCTATTGTCAGATGTTTGTAGCACCTGTAGCACTGCGACCTACATAGATCTATTGTGCTCGCCCTATTTCAAAGTTCACTACCTAGACCCGTCAGGGACAAGAATTGAAGGATATTCTTAGGAGCGATGGTTTTTATCTCCTCGGGAAAGAGTGCAAACTTTCCAACGGAGATATTTCGTTTATGCATGAGTGGGCAACAACCACATAGGATGTGAAGCGGCGTTTCCTCTTCAGTTTGGCAGAATCTGCAGATTCTTGTCGTGCATAGGCCTAGTTTAGCCATATGCCTGTTTAATTTGTCCTGTGAGGGCCCTATAGGGTCTAAGATCTAGTACAGTTCAGGTCATTAGTACAGCACTAAATATATATTAATTTACTAATAAAGGCTATAACAGAATAGCAGAGAGGGTGGATTCACTGCCACCTCTAAGTTACAGACAGTTTTGTCTCCTTTATTACTTTAAAATTTTATTACAAGCAGCAATTGTATTAGTTTTTATTTGAGACAAAAAAAGATGATTATTATTAGTATTCATGTTTAGGCCATTTTGGGACATTTTTAGGCCCTTGAGCAAACCCAGTGTATTGTATTATTATTTCTTTTACATACAGTAATTTGTTACCCGAACAACAACAGCAAATTCCCATCTGTTATCCCAAATGGGACTTATTCTATAGAATCTATAGACTGAACTGCATTTATGGAAAGATCTATAGAATTGAAAAGAACTAGAAGAACCTTATCTATATTTTTTTAAAGTCAACTTGTTATCATTATTCACTTATTTTGGTGTCTATGTCTAACATCAAATGAAAATCCTGTGCATGAACAACTATTGCTGTGCATGTTTGAAATACAAATAGAAATAATCTTTATTCAAATAAACTTAATATTAACACTTTTGAATTTTATATCATCTCTCATCTCAAACAGAATAAGAATGAAACTTGCATGTTGCTCTTTTGAATAAATATTGTTCAACATTATATTTTTAACATTTTTTGAGAATACAACCTGCAAAATTGACATAGTAAATAAATAGGTACTTGACGAATAAAGTAAATAAATTTATCATATAAGTTATCCTTTAGTGAGTAATAGACTTTAGTCAGTAAATATGTTTTAACAAATTATAAAATTATTTAAAGGTATTTCCAGAATATTTTTTTGGTACCTTGTTTAAAATTTTATATCCAAATTATTAAATAGTCGAAAAGGTATAATTCCTATGATACTGAACTAAAAGGATTTTTTTTACATACTAAATTGGCACATGCAGTATATCCCAGATATATCAATAGCAAAAATGTGTAAGTTCATGTTCATTACCATTACATGCCTTAAACGGCTAAACTGATCTTAAAATTTGGCATGAAAATGGCTGGTATCATATTGATAGAAATAAACTATACCAAGAATTAATCTGGTATCATTGAAATAAGAGATTAAAACTTCTGCAGATGCATGTCCTTCTCTTAGATGTTCTAAATGTAATGGAGTTTAATGCAGTTGTCAGCAATAGATAGAATGATTCAAGAGGAAGGTTTATATGTATAATACTTACATATTTCTGTTCAAACTTCCTGGCAACCCGTTCCACATCATCATCATTGTCCGAAAATGGATCCAAACCCGATGTCTTGCCGTTTTCTACTCTTTTCTTTTTCTGAAACATTACATTACATAACTATTTTAATTGAAATTACATAAAAAATATGAAGAATTCCTAGACTGTTTATTAGTCCTATTACTAGATATCTTATTACATTAATTGTCATATAGTCCACTTCGGAGATCATTTTGATTAATTCCAGGGTCCACTCTGGAAACCAATGTCATTAATTCCACTCAAATTGAGCATGAATTAACCATTTTATAAGTGATCTGATTTAACCATTTTATATAGGATATGAGGGAATTCTTAGAGTACTTATTACTATTATTGCTAGATATCCTATCACAGTAATTGTCATCTCGTCTGCTGTCGAGACGATTGTGGTTAACTCCACTCGAATTGGGCATAAAGGGTTAGTGATCTGATTTAATAATTTATTTAGAGTATGAGGAAATTCTGAGACTATTTATTCTATATATTTTATTATATATATATTGCTAGTTATCCTATCATATTAATAGTTATGTGGTTCACTCTGGAGATCATTCTGATTAATTCTACTCGAACTGGGCATGAAGGGTTAATAATCTAATTTAATAATTGTATATCGAGGATAAGAAAATTTTAGACTATTTATTAGTACTATTGCTAACTGTCCTATCACATTACTTCTCTTTGGGCATCTTCAGAGACCATTGTTATTAATTCCACTTGAATTGGGCATGAATGGTTAGTGATCTGTCTTAATAATTTTATTTAGGATGTGAGGAAATTCTTAGACTATTTATAGAAATAGAAATAATCTTTATTCAAATAAACTCATTACATCTTTTGAATAGTCATATTTTGATTCTACCACTCATTCGGAATGCAGATTCATCACAAGAAGAACGAGCAAGAAACTTGTGTGTTGCTCTTTTTAATAGATGTTTTTTTTTATATAAATAATTACAGTATAACAAGTAAGAGGCATGCGATAATCAACATAGAATTTAAAGTTTAATTAATTTAATTAATTTAAAGTTTTTCTATAAAAACATTATTATCGTTAACGAATTCTTCAATTTTATAGTAAGCTTTTTTGCAAAGGAACTGTTTTATTTGACATTTAAATCTTTTTTCTGGCAGATTTATGACTATGGCAGATTTATGACTCTAGTATTTTATTGTAATACCTTACGCAATTGCCATAAAACGAATTACTAACTTTAGCCAAACGACATTTAGGTTAGACTATTTATTAGTCCTTTTACTAGATGATAGACATCCTATATGTCATGTGCTCCCTTCTAGAGACCATTCTGATTAATTCCACTTGAATTGGGCATGATGGGTTAGTGATCTGATTTAATCATTTTATACAGGGCATGAGGAAATTTTGAGACTATTTATTAGACCTATTGCTATATCTAGCAATAAGACTAATAAATAATCTAAGAACATTAATAGTAATGTGGTTCACTTTGGAGACCATTCTGATTAATTCCGCTCAAATGGGGCTAGACAGGTTAGTAATCTGATTTAAACTTGATTCTTTTAGTTATTTTTAAACTTTCGTGTTTAATATACATTATTTATATTATTAACCGGGTATTACCACGAACTAATATAAATAATTATTCTTTTAATTAGGGGATGAGGAATCTCTAGACAATTTTTAGTGCTATTGCTAGATATCCCATGTAACATGTGGTCCAGCCTGGAGACCAGTCTTATTAATTCCACTTGACATGATATAATAGGTTAGTGATCTGATTTAATCATGAATCACGATGGATGATAATAAAAAAAATACAGTGATGACGTCACATTCCATTAGGTGTGTTCACCGTGTTTGTCATACCAGATACCTACATACATAAAAATTAATAAACTAAATCATTCTTTTAATAAGATTAAGAGAAGAGAATAAACTGTCTAAAAGAAAAAGAAACGGAGATATTACTATAAATATAGTAATATCTGACTGGTAGCTGACTGTATGTAGTTGCATTAAAATATAAAGGTCTGTACACACAGGCGAGCGAAACAACATCAGACGGTATAATCTATCTCGCTCACTCGATCTAAAATGAATAATGCGTACTAGACGCAAGCAAAATATTGGAGAACGATAATAATAAAATAACTAAGTTATCATCATTGCATTGCTTTTTATTTATCCCATTATTAAAAAAAAAAGTTACAATATTAACAGATTTTCCTCTACGTATACCTACATAACTAACTACAAGTAATGAAAGAACAGAAGGATCCTACTACAAAATATAAACATAAAAGTAACTACTTTATTTGCTGGCTGTACGTAGCTGCATCAAAATATAAAGGTGTGTAAACACAGACGACAGGCGGGAATTGCATTGAACCAATCCCACGGCAGCGAGAGAGCAAATAAAGGCGCGCCCCCAACTAGGGTTGTGATGTGAAAAAAATATCGAACATTGTTCTATAGACAATCGATTTCCCTGATTGAATTTAATATTTCAAATAAATAATTTAATAATTGATATTACATTACAGCAGATTTTCACTTCGTTTTTATTTTCATACCATCCCTCTAAAACCAAGGCAAAATTGTGATCATTAAACAAAGGACGTCCACGCGCTAACGGGTCCTAATTAGGGTTGAAGGAAAAATCGATTATTAATAACGATACATTTATTGAACCATAAATATACAAGTAACACGCCGTCCTGACTGAACTGAACTAGCACTAAATGAATGTTACGAATTAGTTCCTTCCGAAACATATGGCGTACAGTTTCCTATAAATAAAAGTAATCATAAATCTATTTTACTCAATCCAACATAATACTATCAAAAACTACCGATTATTTAATAATCGATTTTTATAAACAATGTCACATCCCTACAGGCAGGTAGCAAAAACTTCTATTGACAACGAATCGATAGTGACATTACGAACGAGAACGAACGAGTATCCATCTACCTATAAATATATAAATCTGTATATGTATATACATATATATATATATATATAATAGTCTCATGTTTGTATGTATATACCTACATAGGATATCGAGTGACCGAATGAATGGCGTACAAGTCTACTGTTTACATATATACATATATATATATACACTAAACTAGTAGGCAGTTCTAGGCCGTTCATTCAATCACTCGATATCTCTCGCTCTAAATCTAAACATGCATATGAATAGCTGCATGCAGTTTTTATTAATGATAACAGAGTAGTACAGCCTGCGATAACAGTTTATACTGGAAGGACACCTATGGAGGAAGATAAGATGAAGTTAGATCAGTTACCCGTCGTAGCAAATTCACCAGGAAATTATCATGATGGTTTCCCATGCAGTACTATATGGCGGTCAACCTGTCATTTCTATTGATGATAATGGAATTACCAATGTCATTAATAAAAAAAAACCGCAAATAAGTAATATAGTATTGTTTAAAATTATACATAATTAACTATATATTGCTAGTACATTGCTAGGAATCATGGATGATTGGCTACGACGGAAGTGGCGAATTATTAGATAACTCAACTAAAAAAAAACTGACCAATAAACTTATTTATTTAAATTATATTATTTTTACACAACACTTGTCATATACATTTAAATTTTAAACCATTACATAGTGAATAAACTTTATTTGTTGGCGGTACATTGAGTCAAAATTATTATAAAGATACGTACACACAAGACTTTACATCTAATCGAAATCTTCCGTGAATAAAACACGCGCGTGTCAAAAATCACGTATACATAGACAGAGACACACAGAAAACTAAAAAAAAAAGTGTAAAAAATAATTTTGTGCCACAATAAACCGACATTATTAATATGGAAATACACGGACAAATAACGTCTATAAAAAAAAGAATCAGCATTGGGCACTAGGCATTTTCAGAATTAGCGTAATTATCATGCAAATAACATACCTTCACTCAAATATAGTAATACAAACTCAAGCCGAAAAGTAATTAAAAAAAAAATCATAAACTAAACATAAATTTATACATATTACTAATGTTCTATTTCAATGAAATACACAACACTGTTATCAATATGTTGTACATCATTATAATCTACAGCCCTATTCACTGCAATCATAGCAGCCTCTAAAATATACAACCGCGGCATATAAATAAAAAGGTAAAGTATGTAAATGAAAGCGAGAAACAAACAAAAAACTGTTCATACACCGCACACCAACGATAAAACACATTACATCCCGTTCACGCACACAAACAACAGTATATAATACACCATTTATATATATAGTATATACAACACATATATCTACGTAAGAGGTAACCTACAATTATTTACTCTAAATCGATATGACACGACAAGAAAAAAGCTTTCAAACCGTGTAAAGATCACACATTCATACATCCATCAACAAGCTGCATATTGCAAACGTAATTGCACCTTGGCAACAATGCAAAATCAAGTTTTCAAATAAACATAACCAAACAAGTATATACATCGGTCAATACACGGCCAACGTTTTAAATAATATCGCATAAATAAACCAATATGACGATAAATAACGTGAGAGAGCAGTACCGCGATATAGAAAACCCTATCCGAACGCTATCACTATCTTGTTATGTACGATAAACATATGTTCAACTTATATACCTAAACATGATTCCTATGACAGAAGTTACCACTTCATTTCAATTTAATTAGATTTGGTGATTAAAAATAACCTAAAAGATGTCTAGCTGACTTGCTTTTACCGGAAACGACATGCAATTGGCAGGTTAACCTAGGTCATTGAATCTCTACTTTCGCGATAATTTAATACCACGGACATTGCCTCATAGTACATATATTAAAAATTGCACTTATTATGCTAATACCATGATAAAAAACACTGTTATTAATGTAAAAACGATCTTATGGATACTAAGTTAGGTATCAAAACATTGGACTCGTTTTATGATGCCCTAGGCTGACAACGTTCTCCTATGATTGTTGCAAACATGGCGACCGCTATCTGGGCTTCTCAGACAGCTCGTGGACGCAAATTCATGTCACAAACCTAATACAAAGCTGTGTAACGTAAGCAAAAAATATACTAAAACCATATTTGCAGGGCCCTAGGAAAAGGGTCTGCGACCGGCAAACTGTTTGCATTTTTATCACAATATTTTTGCAGCGGTTTCCTTACATTATAAAGAACTGGAAAACCAGCATGGTTGCGTAAACTGCTATGATTTTCTGTTATAACTTACCTCTTCTGTAATGACTAGTTCCTTGTAATTCAGCTCCGGATATTTACTTTCATTGCTTTCAACCAAATTTATACTTAATCTCACTGTTTTATTCACATTATTCTTTCCACTATTTGAGGCACCCACTGTTATAAGAGTAGCACGTTTAGGGTCCGACATTTTCCACCAAAATCGAGTATAAAATGATTTTTTTCAAAGCATGACACGACCTGCATTTTCAAACTGTGTAGCACATTGCCACCATGTTGGAATTTATTGTTTGGGTCGTGAGCGCCACGGTTGGAATGTGAACTATCCTGCATTTGACAACCAATTAGCAAAGTCACGCAATCGTTCACATGTGTAGCGATAGATGTCGTGGCAAAAAATATTACATTTATATAGTTTATGCCGTTTATATGACCATTATTTGTCATCAATTGAAGTAAAAAATATCAATTCTTTTTATAAATAATTAGAATTTAGTAACTTGCAAGCTGGAAACAAATTATTATGTACATTGACAGTCGTAGATTGAATCGGACATTGAATACCGCCAAAAAAACATCGGCAGTGTTTTAGTTTACTATTGTGAGATGGCGCTTTTAGTAAAAATTAATTGTCATTATGATGAACTGCTTTACCGACAAATAAAAATTATCTTCATTCTTATATTTAAAATAGAAGTAATGAAAATAAACTTACTTAAAATGTATAATGAATAAATTAGTCATTATTTTTTAAACAACATTAATCTCTTTTGCAAATAAATACATGTCATAGCTTTTTACTATCGACGCCATCTGTTGTAAATGTAAATATTTACGTATTAGTTAAATAAATACATCTTTGCAGATACAATTGATGGCGCTTTTTGAATTATATATTTGCCACTAGTGTCTGGTGGTGGAATAAATTTAATTCGAGTTAACATAGACATTTTTAATCTTTAGACTACTTGAAATATACAAATTTTTCACTTTAGGATTTCCGAACAATACTATGATACCTTTACGTTAACTTTATGAATATTTACAGCAAATGTGTCAACTAAAAACTACAGTTAACTAATTATTTAAGATAAAAAAGTAGTAATTCGTATGTACGATAGTATTTTAAAAAAAGTTTTAAACTTGACGCGGTCATTATTTATACGTATAATTAGTAAAAATCACGGGATCTTACCACGTTTTATATTACACCATAATCGTGATTATGGTGGTTGAAACACTACCGAAATATCGGGAAATCAGCAAATAAATATAAAACGTGGTAAGATCCCGTGATTTTTACTAATTATACGTATATTTAAAAAAAGTATTGCCAAAAACGACTTATAATCTAAAAATACGTTTTTGATGACTAAAAATATTAAATCCATTTATAACACTTTACACCAAGTTATGGTCAGAAATGGATAATGATGATTCAATTTTTTTTATTCATAATATATTTTATAAAAATTTTAATATTTTTTGTATTTGTAATTACCTAACATGTTTATTGTATTAGATATAGGTTTTTTTACTGCATTGTCTCATACTAATATATTTTTATATTTATTTAAATTATTTAGAGAATTATAAGACTAGCCTTAAGGTGTTATGTCCGCCATATACAGCTTTATTGTCGTATTTATGCGTAAAAGTTTTAGTATATAATTAAAAAATAAAACAATTACAAAAAACAATATATATAAGGTGAGAAAATTTTAGAACAAAAGTAATGTTTTGTGTCATATTGTAAAAGCAGTATAATTAAAAAATAAAACATTTTTTTTGGTTCTCCTCGAAATTAACTATTTTAAATTAAATCCTTACTCATTACAGACCGGGATATTACTTATGAACTAAAACCATATACCTATATAATTTTTATATTACTCATACATATAAAAATGTATTAGTGTATTTAATTTATTAGTATAGTATGAAACCTTTCCTTTACTCAGAGCTTCGAATTCACAGGTCTGTAAGAGATGCAGACGCATTTTGTTTAGCATATTTATAGTAAGTTAATTTTTTTTGTTAATATATTTCTGTGTATAATAAAAAGTTATATTATTATATTTAATAACTAGCTACTCACTCCGGCATCGCACGGGTGTACATGTATTAAATATATAAACCTTCATTTTGAATCACTCTATCTACTAAAAAAACCGCTTCAAAATCTGTTGCGTAGTTTTAAAGATTTAAGCATACATAGGGACGGACAGACAGCGACAGCGACTTTGTTTTATTTATTCGCCATTACTTTAGACTTATATATTACATTACATAATAATAAGTAATCGTAACAAAAGTATGCGAGCAAAGAAACGCATTCGGTCAAAAAAGAATCATCAAAGTCGCTTATTAATTGTCGAAGATGTCGCTCTAAAAATACGGTACAGTTGTTAATCTCCTTTTTCTACGTTGGTTAAGAAAAAATTCGAAACGACAATTTCAGTGTTGCTAACCGAAAAAGCAGATCCTTATGTTATTTTTTGCGGCAGCCAACGAAATTGATCATCCCCATTCAGACTAACGCTGAAACTCAGCCAATTACAAGATCCAATTCTTTCTTAAAAGGTGATATTAAAAAAATGATCCTATCAGCAAAACTGGGTTGATAGTACTTAAGAAGGGTATTTTCGGAAAATGCTGATGACTTGGACATTATGAGGCCGCGATTCCTATTAAGATAGAGGGCATTAGTGGCGGTCGAGTTCTGTTTGTGTAGGCCAGTGGTCGAGTACAGTTACTGTCACCAGTGCACTTGCCTATTTCTTTTAACGAAAGATTCTATTGTTTTTTTTAATACTACGTTGCTGGCAAACAGGTATATAGCCCAACTGATGATAAATGGTTACCGTAGTCTATGGACACCAGTATGCTTTAACTTTTAAGTTATTTAGTACAAACATTATTATAAGTACTAAGATTGATGTATAATTGAATAAATGTCTTTAATAATATTATTATTGACGGCTTTAGGGGTCTAGAGGTTTAGCACATCGCTTTACTTCCGATGGTCGCGGGTTCGATTCCTCCCACGGTATAATTTGTAGGTATTCATGAGTACGATTGTTTGTGTCGATCTGGGTGTTTTCTACATATAATATGTATTTACCAAAAAATCTATGTATTTGTATCAGTTATCTAGTAAACATAACACAAGCTGTAGCTAGTCTCACTTGAGTCTAGATGGCGCTGTGTGAATTGTCCTGATATTATTATTTCAAAAAGTAAAATTGAATTTGCCAGATTACTGTTAAAGCGATCTCGATTCAATTCAAACGCTCCATCGAGTAGATATTATTACACGGATCCCGAGATATATGAGCTGAGTTCCAGAATATTATTCATTAAAGAAAATGAAATTTGACCTTTCCTTTCGAATGTTTAATAAGGCACTGTCTTTGTGGGGAGCACTCTACTATGTTTAAATTTATACGCACTCTTTTCTCTGTTCAACTTACTTAAAAAAGGGCTATTTCTTAGTTACACTATTGTTTTATCCTTTTTTTTGTGGTTTACAAATATTTTTAACAATTTTGATTATTCTAGTATTTCTCATGTAGTCCCATTTATGGGTGTATTTGTGTATTTTTTCCTTTCCTTATGGGTTAGAATTTTTTTCTAAGTGAATCAATGTTTATAAGAAAATCTAGTGTTTCTCATGTAGTCCCATTTATGGGTGTATTTGTGTATTTTTTCCTTTCCTTATGGATTAGATTTTTTTCTAATTGAATCAATGTTTATAATAAAATCTAGTGTTTCTCATGTGGTCCCATTTATGGGTGTATTTGTGTATTTTTTCCTTTCCTTATGGGTTAGAATTTTTTCTAAGTGAATCAATGTTTATAATTCTAAAGTTTCTTATGTAGTCCCATTTGAATTTGATCAGGCATTGACTATTGTTTTTTTATGGCATGAAGTTTTTTGTAAGTAAATCAATTTTGTTAATTCTGGTGCTTCTCATGTTCCCATATAAATTTGATCAGGGTCTGACTAATTGTTTTTGAGATAATAATTAACTAATATTATAAACGTGAAGTTTATTAGAATGGATGGATGGATATTAAAATCGTGAAAGAGTACTTATATTACTCTAAAGTTTCAACATAATCCGTTTAGTAGTTTTCCGTAAGAGAGTAACATATAATAATAATAAATCTGAGGACAATTCACACAGCGCCATCTAGTCCCAAGTTAAGCTAGCTAAAGCTTGTGTTACGGGTACTAGATAACTGATATATGTACATAGATATTTTTTTTGTAAATATATACATAGAAAACACCCAGACCGATACAAACAATCATACTCATGAATACAAATGTTTGTGCCGTGCGAGGAATCGAACCCGCGACCATCGGACGTCATGCGGTGTGCTAGACCGCTAGACCACCGAGGTCGTCAAACAACAGAAACATCAGAATAACAGATATATATATATATAACTTAAAAATATAATATGTAATATAGAGAAATATATGCCAAATAAGTGTAATGTAGACGAAATTGCGCGGGTAGTATTTAATATTACGATTGCAGTAAAAAAAAATATGTTATTGTAATGGCAAAATCAGTTTTTATCAGTCAATCAATTTTTATAGTTATATAAAATAGATCTATAAATAAAGGATAGGAATAAAGCTGGCGTTTAACCTTATGATAAGTGTTAATCATTGCCAATAACATGAACAGCATCAAATCGTTATTTTCTTCATCGAAGAGTTAGTCTTATGGATGATAATGGAATGATGCACCCGCCTGCGGTAATGGTTTACGCTGGCGCGGTACCAGTGGAGAATGATAAGATGAGTATCAGATCAGGTCGGTCAGCCCATGGTGGTGATTTCACTCTGAAATGACTGGACCGATTTTGACGGGACTTTTTTGGCAGGTAACTGATGTAATAAGGAGTAACTTAGGCTACTTTTATTTTAGAAAAATAAAGTTAAATTCCACGCGGACGAAATCGCGAGGAGAGCTAGTGTATAATACATGAAAACCGGGGCGGATAGCTAGTTTTTAAATAAAGACTTTCCATAAAGAATCATAAAAAGATATCTTTTTTTATTCCTCGCAACTGCGTATAACCCCTTAACAGTATCGTGGCATATGCAATCATACCAGTAGTCGGTCAATTAGGTACAGGCTTCATTAATATTCACAGCCACCACGCTGTATTGGGTCAACGACACGGGACAAGGGGACGGGGTTCAGGCAATTAGGTTTTATTTATTTATTCTTTATTTTTCATT